AATAGGATAAATATATACATCTTGAGATGTAAGAACAACAAAGGAAAAGTTAACTTTGCCTTTTTTTCATGTTTAAAGATCAAGAAAACATGAGTAGAGGGAAGTGCCATTAATTTTAGTTGATCTGTTGACATAAATTCAGTAGAAAACCAGCAAATAATCACCTTAAAATGTAGATTTTAAACTTATTCTCTATATTCTATCTTCAAAAATAATTGGGAATTCTATTTATCTCTAGTGAATCTTCAAAGGGGAATCTGAAAATTACCTAATTCTTTATAGAAATAGAATCTGACCTCATTGCTTTATACTGATCACCATTATCTTTAATCCAATTAAAAATTTGATAACTTTTTTTTTCCTAAGCCAGAAGGGACACTTGACTAAGATGCCTTTATTTTCATAGTAGATCTAGTTTTTCAAATACTTTACTGATGGAAAGGCAAAGGAATGCAGTAGATTCAGTAGAGTTTGCATGCTTTTCATGGAGCTACTGAGCTAAGTAGTCACCAGGCTTCATATGTCACACTATCTGCTTTTTGGAAAAATTTTTTCTCAGATAATTTAAGTCAAGAATTGTGTGTTCAGCTCAAATGCTCCAAAATATAGAACATTCTGTTTTGTGTAATATAAACAGTAAGCACACCAGACAAAAGAAAAGGAGAGAATCACTGAGAATCCCTTGACATAAGGATATAGAATCTCAAAATGTACCTTTCCCACTTTAAATAAAGCTTTGTGTTTCTACCTCTCAGCTTTTATAAAGAATTTTCTTATTAATTTTAATCTTTTGATGTGCTCATCTTATATGTGCTGATTGCATTTACTCTTAAATGATAATGTTGTTGTAATTGACCTGGGAAGGGTTGTATTTTAAACAGGGTCTGTGAAGAAAAAATGAAGGAGAGGCAAAAAAAAATAAAAATAAAAAATTATCATGTGTACTTGTAGAAAGTCATTGCAAGTAGATGGAAAGTAATCAGTGTGCTCTTCCATTCAATGATGGGAAGATCTACATGGTGAAGAGGTTTGACTGAAAGGGATTAAAATTAGCTAACTATTTAAAAGCAATAGCTGTAATGTCTCTATGCTCAAAAATCCCTTTTTATAGCCGTTTGGATGCTCACTTCACCAACTCTAACGCTCTTACCTTCCCTTGTTTGCACACTATCTGTGTGAGCCATGTGTTGGTAAAAGTTCCGGATAACAATGGGAGCCCTGAAGCCTCGGAACCATGGGCAAAAGGACATTGGCAGGGCAGATGCATGTGGTAAGTGCCTTCTGTTAACCACGGAAAATGATAAAAGCAAAGAAAATTCCATTTCCTGAGGCTGTGAAATCACTGCATATTGCATGTCACAGAGAGGATAACATATAAGGACAGGAGAAAATTTGCTTGTTTCCACAGTGCCCCCTGAAAGTAATGCATTGAGTTGGACTCCTTTGGAAACATGCACATAGTATTCTGTGTATGTTTATGCCAGACAGGGTTAGCATCTTAATGGGATAATAAAAGCTATCACTTGGGAAATATACACATTGCTCCAACCAGAGTGCATAGAGGTATTGATAGGTACTGAGGGAGGAGCAGAGAGATAGTATACCCTGAGGAAGTCTCTTTCCTGTCTCCATACACATTTAGGTCTTTTGCACATACGAGCAAGTTCTGGGAGAGCAGCCTGGGGGAGGGGAGAACTCGATGTGGTTGGCATCTTAAAAGATTTATGAACTGCTAAATTTAGAAATGTCATTTTGTTATTGCCAGAATACTGCTGGCGTCTTTGTATGAGTCACTAAGAGAAAAAAAAAATAGCAATCACCTCCCTTGCAAGAGCTGGTATGAGTAACCCAAAATGGGTTCAATTAATCATTTTAACCACTGAATTCACTCTGGATAAACAAAGTGTGTATCAGATGATATGCCCTAGAAAGGTAGTCATCCTTACAAAATGCTACTCTCTGCAGCTATGCTCTTCTCATTATCGTATTGCAAATAGTTCCGAAAGAAAAAACTGTTCAAGCAAAATATTAAACAGCATTCATTTGTCATTTTCCTGCGGGGACCAGGCGGCAACCTGCTGTGGCTGAAGAGATGTGGTCATTATGAAGCTGCTATTGAAATGTTTGCTTATCTTTAGAAGAGAAGAGAGATTTCGATGGTGCTACTTTTTGATTGGTAATTTCCGGCACTTCTGCTTTCCGGAGGCCTGTCTTCTTCCACCCGGAATTGATATTAATAGATGCGTGTGTAAACATGCTGTTGGTGTGTGTGTGTGCTTTTTTTAATGTTCACATAATTTTCTGTGCCTGAGGAATGACAATGAGGCTCATTTCCTTGTTAGTGGGTGCTGCTTTGTGTCACATGGAGTCTGGCTGCTTGCTTTTTCCGGAGGCCTGAAGTGTTTGTTGTAGATGGTGTGAGATAGGATGCCTAACCTTCTTGGCCCCTGAAGGCAGTATGATTTTGGCTGATGGATGGAAGGAATTCCATGTCCCTCTTTTCCTCCTCCTCTTCTCCTTTCCCCCATATGCTTCTTGTTCTTTTTCTCTGCACAGATACTGTACCCATAGGATTAAAAGCCACCGGAGAAGGAAACAGTCTCCACAGATCACCTCAATGTAACTGGAAACACCATCCTTAGAGAACCCATTTAGCTATGAACAACCCTTACCGAGCTCTTCATTCTGCCATTTAAACCTGTTTCCTTCTACTCTGCTCAGAGAACGCGGGGCACTTGTCACCATTTTCCAAGACATTCTTTAATCACACACTGCACAGTCCCTCTTGTAGCCTGTTTAATTGGAAGCAGAAGTCCAGCTCCATTATCTTTATCTCTACACTTTCAGTCCAGTTGTGACACTCTTCTAAGCTTCCTCTGCAGTTTTCCAGACCCCCTTTAGGCCAGGGAATGCAGAGCTGTCCATAGTACTGCAAAGGTACTTGCCCAGGGCAAGTCAATCAGAAAGTTCAAAATAAAAGCAGGCCCATTCATATTCTTCATTCACAGACACATACACACACACACATACACACACACACACACACACACACACACACACACTCTTAGATGAGGCGAGGATTTGTCAGTCCAATGGTCTGATAAAGGAGGTGACTTTCTTACCAGGACAGAATGCAACATTTACAATGGAGTAAACATCATAGCTGTCCCTGCATGCTACCGATTTGTTTCATATTGAGGAAAGGAAACAAGAGCAAATTTTGGCGCAGAGCAGCAAGTAAGAGAGCCTGTTTCATTGGAATGACCTCAAATAGCACTTATGCGTGGAGAATGCACTGAACCTGGGTACATCCTGATAATATTGACTGTGTTTCTTTCTATTAAAAAGGAAAAAAAAAATCCTTGCAAAGAGTTAGGTGAGGACAGCAAAGTGCAGAGACTTTTGAGAGAAGAACTAGAGCTGAATCAAATCTTACTTGTTCAATAAACTATAAAGTTGTTCTTCCAGGCAGAAAGGAGACAATTGCAGGTTTTATTAGCATCTGAATGGCGGGGCTTTAATTGCTCAGATATACTGCAATGCTTCTTTGCCTCATTAAGTGTATTAACAGTCTGATCCTGCAGTGAAAAAAAAAATTAAACAGGGGAAAAGCATGAATTAAATAATTAGCTTACAGCAATATACAACAAAGCAATTGATTCTGACCTGATCTTTCCCTTGTATTTTAATTTGTGTGTGAGTGACTTGACTTTTTGAAAAAGCTTTACTTTTTCCCTCACAGAAATATTGCTGACCCAACACCAATAAATAGAAGTAACTGATACATTAAAAAACAAACAAGCAAACAAACATAATGGCTACCATTTACTCAGTTCCTACTATGTGCTGGATACTTAATATATCTTACATAATTATCCTAGATAATAAAAGACTAATATGCAAATCAACTGAACAGCAGAATGGCCAGTCTCAATGACACTCACTGACCACCAGGGGCAGATGCTCAATGTAGGAGCTGCTTCCTGGTGGTCAGTGCACTCCCACAGGGGGAGCATTGGTCAGGCAGAAGTGGGGGGTAATGGTTGACATGCCCAGTGGTGGTGGTAGGAACCTCTCCCACCTCCGCGGCAGCACTAAGGATGTCCGACTGATGGCTTAGGTCCACTCCCTGCTCCTCACTAATGGGTATAACTTTGTAAGTTATATAAATGCACAATCACTTTCTATACCTGAAACCAATATAATATTGCATGTAATTGAAATTTTAAATATGTAAATAAATAAGTAGGAGTACATCTATTAAAAAAGAAAAGCAAACATTTGTCCCTCACAACCTTCCCTTAATACTCAGTAATTCTTAGCAGTGCTCCCCCTGTGGAAACAGGCCTAAGCCGGCTCTTAGACTGTGACAGGGTGCAGGCTGGCTGAAGGACCCCCGCCCCTCTCGCCAAGTGCATGAATTTTGTGCACTGGGTCTCTAGTCTAATATAATTAATCCATCATTTAAAAATATTAGACACCTACTATATGACATCCTCTGGGGTAGAGATGTGAACCCAATGATGTTACCATCTTATCTCTATTTTACAGATGAGGAAAGAGTCCAGAGAAGTTAAGACTTACTGAGTTCTATAGCACATCAGAGGCAAAACTTAGTTTTGAACTCAACTCTTAAAAGCTGATGTTCTTCCCAATAATACCTCATTTCTCTCCTTGACTTGGCAGATTTATCTTGCTTCTCTAAAATGCGTGTAAGAGAAGCACAGTTCATCAGCCATACCACCACCTCTAAGACAGATAAGGGCACTAAATTGCACTGACACATCAACTATTCTGGGTTTTTTATAGCTGAGAGAGGGTCCTTTTTCCCTCTCAAAGATCGGCTAGAGTTGAGGTTTCTGGAATTTTAATAACCTTCTATAATGAGCACAATGTCATCATAAGTGTAAGAAGTTATCACAATCATTACAGTATCGTTGTAGCTATTGGTTTTAAAATAAAATGCAAAACCCCAGCTCTTTAAAATATGATTAATGCATGTTCACTCCAGTTGCATTTATACTAAAATTGGAATGATACAGAGAAGATTAGCATGGCCCCTGTGTAAGGATGACACACAAATTCATGGAGTGTTCCATATATTTTTAATAAGAAAATGAAATATGATTACTGCATTTCACTTTATTAGACTCTAATTCTCTCTCTCTTTCTCTTTCTCTCTCTCCCCCCCCCCTTTGGGCATTTTATCTAAGCCACAAAATTACAGATCTCTATGTTATTGTACTTTATGGTTGGTTAAGTTAGGTCAGGGTGATAACATGAGGGAATATTAATAATCCTTGTTTTAACAAGCCTACATTTATACCACTGTCAGAAGTTAATCGTTCTGTTATACTTCTGGTGCTAAGAACTACTGAGTACTAAGGGACAGTGATAGGGGATGGAAGTTTTCTTTGTTAATAGATGTACTCCCAATTATTTATTTATTTAAAATTTCAATTACAGTTCCTATGCAATATTACATTGGTTTCAGGTATAGAAAGTGATTATGCATTTATATAACTTACAAATTGATCACCTTGATAAGTCTAGTGCCCACCGGACACTATTCATAATTATTACCCATTAATGAGTATGAGCATGCAAGTCAAAGGTTTTCATGCTTCATGATCTCTTCCATATGTTCATTCCACATGCTTTTACTCCCAGAGCTTTTTTCCCCTGCATTTTCATCTATCTTTCTTCGTCCAGGCCCTGGATCAACTGGCCAAGCCATTTGTCACTGAGTTTGAATCCGGATATATAAAAATTTGTGTCACTTATATTTCTATACAACATGTATAACCAAGTGCTCCATCTGAGACTCTGTATTGGGATAAATTTTTCTCCTTACTCTCTTTCAAAGTCCTTTTTGAGTGGGGCTGTGATGCAGCTGCTGTCCTATTTCAGGCTGCACCCATACACTGAACTGACACTCATGAAGCAATCTTGTGCTTTGTCTTCCTCCATTAGCTGGGTAAGGAAGGATGCCGTATATGGCTACATCTGTGATCTGGTAAAGAGGTTCTTGGGTAAACCTGGTGAGAATGACATGGGGGACTTGGAATCTGCTTGCATAGTTCACATGGACCCTCTAATTCTGCTTGATCTTAATCGTGGGTTCTACTACTTAGAACCCTCAATCAATAGTTAAAGGATTCTTCCCTACTTTACAACTTAGTGGGTTTGACAGTTCCTAGTTCATGACCAGCAGCTGTGGCTCAATTGTGACTTGGTATCCCATTGTCATTCCCTTCATCTGTACTAGGTCCAGTAGTGTGTCAAGAATTGTTTCTACAAAGGCATACAATTCTGATGGTATGGCCTTGCTCTAACCCCCCAGCAATTGTGTTATGATTCTTTCATTAGTGCCTGCCTTAATATCTACATGGCGTCTTTTATCATCAACACCTCTTATGCCACAAGGTCTTCCAAATTATAATGCCACGTAACACAACAACTTGCACTGTACCTCTCATCACTTCCATAGCTAGTTTATAATGTGACTTCACTCTGGTTCTAGAAGTGCAGAACAAAATGTGCGTGCGGGGGGGACACATGTTATCTAAATCATCTTCAAGCAAGAGGGAAGTGCTAACTTTAAATAGAAATATTTATGCCACTTATGCAGACTCAAAAGATTCAGGGGACTATGGAGATTCTTTTTTGCTCACTCTGCAGACAATGAGAGGTACTATGTATGCTACCATGGAGTCCCTCTCTGGCTTTCAAGTTTAGCTTTTGTTCTTAGATACTTGTTATCTTGTTCAGATAGAGTTTCCTAGTCATTCAAATCCTTTACTTGAATAAACGTTATCCCCTCCCCCTATTTCTCTTCATGCATTGAACCAACGAATATATTCCTTTATAGCATAATATCATTCCAATTTAATACCAGTGAAAGGTGTTTGTTTTAAATATATTTTATTGATTTTTTTACAGAGAGGAAGAGAGAGGGATAGAGAGTTAGAAACATCAATGAGAGAGAATCATTGATCAGCTGCCTCTTGCACAACCCCCACTGGGGATGTGCCCGCAACCAAGGTACATGCTCTTGACCAGAATCGAATCTGGAACCTTTCAATCCGCAGACCATTGCTCTATCCACTGAGCCAAACTGGTTGCGGCTACCAGTGAAAGTTTTATCAATTAAATAGGTCCCTAGTAGCAACTGATGGAAGTTCTATTCTCTAAGAAGAAGTCTTTGAAATGGAATTTAGTGTATAACCTTTCAACCAAGGAGTGTTTTTGGAATCAGAACTTTTGGAAGAGATTGTAAGAAAGCAGATTTAAGCAGAGGGAGAATTTATTCTATAATTAAAACCCAGTGGCAAATTTATACAACCCCATTGGGCACTCAAAATGAGAAATGTCCCAAGTTGTGCTGAGATGACATGGACTTTGTACTCTCTCAATGATTTGTTATTGTTTGTAGGCTGTCCTAGGAAGAAAGGTGATCATGGATAATGCAGTTCTCTGCCACTGAAGCAGTTCCGGGAGGAGAGACAGCAGAAAGCTTTTGCCAGTTTTTTTTTTTTTTTTTGTGTGTGTGTGTGTGTGTGTGTGTGTGTGTGTGTGTTTTCTATGAGCTGGGTAGCAAGTACTTCATTGAAGTAATAGCTGGCGGTGCATCACAAAGTCTACCAGAGTCATTAAAAAGTGTTCAGTTTAACAGTGAAGCTAGGGACTTGGAAAAGAGTAAGCATTGCATGCATTTATTTTTTATCTTTTCTCTGTGCACCTCCATGAAGGAGTTGATATATTGGTAGTTTACTAGAAGGCAAAGATATCACAAAAATGTTGAAACCCTGGTGAACAAAAGAGGACTATATAAAAAATGAGGATAGGGTAGTAAGTTACTTGAACATGAAACTAACCTCTGACTTTTAGCAAAAGAAGTTAGAGAAACACAAATGCTTACATGGTTTTTATAAGCTAAAACCAGTGCATGAATTCGTGCACAGGTGGGATCTCTAGTCCTGGATGGTGATCAGGGCCAATTGGGGCCTGCCAGCCGGAGGGGGGGAGGGATGGAAGAGTGTCCACAGGAGGTTTGCTTTGAGAGTGCATTGACCACCAGGGGCAGCTTCTGTGTTGAGTGTTTGGCCCCTGTTGATCAGTGCGCATCAGTGACTGGTAGACCAGTCATTCTGGTAGTTTTGGTCATAATGTTCACTTAGGCTTTTATATATAAAGATAATACAAATCCTATTTTTTTCCAGAGAAATTACTGTTTCCTTGACTCTGAATTCCAAGACTTTATTTTGCAATTCATTATAAAATGCTCTGATCAATATTTTTTATTGTAACTTCAATAACAATTTTTCATGATGGCAAAGCTGTTCTCCCTATACTTCTTTCTTTCACAGAGTTCTGAAGCATACATATTGTATTAATTGAAAAAAGATTTGTGTGCTTTATAAACAAAAAGAATATAATGATTTGTTTAGCTGGTGTGGCTCAGTGGATTGAGTGTCATCCTACGCACCAAGAGTTTCCAGTTCCATTCCCAGTCAGGGCACATGCCCAGGTTGTGGACACGGTCCCATTAGGGGGTATGCAGAGACAGCCAATCGATGTTTCTTCTAATCAGTGTTTCTATCTCTATCTCTGTTTCCCTTTCTGTGTAGCTTTAAAAAATCAATAAAGAATATATAAAAAAAAAGTAATATAATGACCAAGGTTGACATATTGCAATGCCAATCAAAGAGTCTGAATTGTAACAGTTGAAAAAGTAATTTGTGGAATGTAAGTTAGGACACTGCCCCACCACTTACATGCATCCAAAACATTTCTTTTAGCAACTATTTTTGTTTCATGAATTCACCATTATAAGATGTGTTCACATGTGTGATTGTGTATGTATGTGAAAGAAGTTATACCTCAACATGATATTATTTATTCATGTCTTTAAATTTAACTTGACTCAATTTACTTTGGCTTAATACAATTCTACATTAAAATTATGTGATTAGAAAGGAGATAAAAAGATATCCACATGGAGTATTATTTTCAAGAAGTTATATTTTTTAAAGAAGAGTAAGTTACACAATGCAAATATGAATAAATTCACAACACACAAAAGGTGTTAAAATTACCAAAGGAAAAAAGTGATAATGTTAACTGAGGATATTATTATTATTGAATAATTTGGGGAGGGGGCAACACTTACAATAGGCCTTGAAAGACATTTAATACATAGTGAGCCATCAATAAATGTTATATAGTATAACTAATGCAATTTTCCTTGATATTTAGCTAAATACAAATGTGAAAAGTTAAGTAAAATTAGCTGAGTGTGATTCTTTTCAGACTTAATCACTTTTTTTTTTCAATTTAACATCACATAATGATTTTCATTTTATAGTAAGAAAGTCAAAGAACTGAAAGAAGGAAGGAGAGGAAAGAGCTGAGGAGAGGGAAGAACTGAGTCTCAAAGAGATAAAGCAATTTTCTCAAGTTACACAGATAGCAGACCTGAAGGAGAGATCCGAATATAAATGCCTGGCCATGGAACTCATTTGTGTTTGCTATATATTTCCTATTATTACTAGGAATTGCTGTCAGTTATGAAACAGTATCCCCAACTATAATATTTGCTATGAAGAGAAAGGAGTAATTGATTCAGAATACACAATATTGCTAAAGGAAGAGAAGATGTGGGAAGGGGCTAGCTGGGTTAGAGCAGTGTAGATACTCTAAGCGATTGCAGAAAAAGGTAAAAGAGTTGTAAATGAGGAGGTATAAAATAGTTAGACCCTAGAAAGTAGGTTCCTCTACTCCATATTTTTTTTTAGAGCTAATCATGTTTTAAATAAATAAATATATATAATTTTATAAATATATATTTATATATGTTTAAGTATATATTGTTTGCTTTTCAAGGCAGTTATGTAACTAGATTTCTCCTGACCTAAATACAGTTGCTTGGCTTCAATGACAGGTGAGGTCATTATATTTTGATTATAGCTCAACCACATGCATTTAAATAGATCAACAACCCATGAGGATTCATGAGTTCAAGGGCTCTTCCCCCTTGGTTGTCTTTCAAAGTCATCCCAGTTTACTGGTGGTGCCACAATATTATTTTCTTTCAGATATTTAG